TAAGTCCCCATGGTCCCTAGTATGGTGGCCTTACTTTGGCTGCTGGCGATCTACAGCCCGTTTTTATATTGTATCGTTTGTATTTTATCTGATTATTTTATTGTTCTAAAACTAGTTTTAAAATCTTAATCTGTGATATATTGCTGGTTGTTGTACTGTCCTTCGATGACCGCTTTTCATATATAATATAAATGCACAACTTGTTCAAGTCACGATTTGGCTGAAATACTGCCGATGTGACTTTAAATATTAACTCACTCACTAACCCTTGCCACGAAAGGGACCTCGTCGATTGCTGTAGGCCTCGTGCACATCCCTCTAGGCTGGGACGTACTGCGCTGCTGATCTTCAAGCTGCTGTTTATGGAGTTTGAGAAGATCAATGGAAACTTGCAGCTGGGTGTCCTTTGTGACGTCCTGCATAACAGTGTGAATCGTATTGGTGAGCAGGATGGGCGAAGACCAAGGGATTTGATACACTCGTGTCTTAAAATGGTCCTCCCAAGGGCAATATTGGAGTATACCGCGGCGAAATAATGTAGTAAGGGAACCCATACAATGCGACAGCAGGTCCATTACGTCCAGAAAATTGGCCCCACGAATATGAGCTTCTTCCGACGAACGGGCGCGAGCAACTGACATGGCAACAGCTTCGAATTCTGTAGTAGAGAGTACAGTTGATAGGAGGGAAAGCGTGCGACAGATAGTCTGGTCAACATGAGTCAATTCTTTATCCTTCACAATAGAAGAAACTTAGGATGCTTCGGAGTGATATTGTGGATGTCGCCATCTAATTCTGGGGCTGCAGAGATAAACCATGCGTTCAAGCTTAAGTGTCTGAGTAGTTAAAGCGAGGAGTTTGTAACCTGTCGCTATGGCAGCGAAAAGTAGCCAAAGCCAGATCAAGATTCTTGCCCATATCTGTGAAAATCTGTTTAGGTGGTAAGGTAAGAGTGTTCAAGGAGGGACTGGTGATCACAAATCCAGTGGGTCGATCCTCCTTAGAGGTACTGCGGGGGAGTCCCAGTTGATCAGCAATCCAGAACAGCATGTCCACCTGATCCACGATATCATAATCACCTTGAGAGGAGGCTGGCGACTGTGGATCATCGCATGCAGTAGTAGAAGGCGTAGGTAGACAAAACGGCCTAATTTATACCATCTTTAAGATATTTGTGCACAGGAACAAAAAGTGCATACGTCATAGTATATAAGAATGTGGTGATTGATCATGAACTTATTTGTGTAAAGTAGTATATTTTATATATATATTATGAAGTCCGCGTTCTTCACTCTTAAAACGGAGCACGGGTGGCCCAGTCGTCTAAGGCGCCGCGATTCGCTGTGCAGAGTCGCGTCCCTTGGGCACGCCAGAAACCTATGATTGTGGGTTCGAATCCCGGTTCGCCCCGATTATGTTTCTAGGTTTGTCAGCACCATACCCGTGCTCCTGGGTTTCACCGAAGTGGTAAACGTCTGAGACCTGCATCACTTCGGGCTTTCCTCCCACATTAAGCTGACACGCTGCGATATGACTGGAATACTGTTAAAAGCGGCGTTAAACACAATTCACTCACTCATTCACTCACTGTAACAGAAAGGTACAGATTCCCGTTTACAGCTCTGCCTCCCATCACACACACACACACACACACACACACACACACACACACACACACACACACACACACACACACACACACACACACACACACACACACACACACACACACACACACACAAAAAAAAAATCACACACACACACAAAATCACACACACAAAATCACACACACGTGCACATACAAACATTTATATATATACATGTTTAACTTTGTATCACATTATGGGTAGGGTTCTCGAAAACAACTGATGAAAATGGTATCTATTTGTGTAATTCACGTATATAAATATATAGATCTATAAATATGCAAATTACACTTTCAGTGCTTAAAAAACACATGGGGTCACACTTGTCTATCGGCGATTTGGAATCAAAATCAAAATCAAAATCAAAATAATAGTATAGGATACTTTACACCAGTGTCTGATAGGGGTATATAGCTGGCTGAGGCACTGCCAAGAGCAGGCAACATTGGATATATTAATTACGAATAAGAGCGATGAAACCCTTTCTATATTTTCTTAAGATTTCTCTGCCAAAAGCAGAATTAATTGTACGGTTCCGACTACATCATAAGCATGTGTTTATGAATCACTATCAAATATAGATGGTACCATGTGTTCGAGAAAAGTTGAACGTATCCTGCCCCACCAGTCGCACCCACCATAAACGATCTTCAAGATGAACAATTTTGTTCACAGCACATTTTTCAAGCATATCCAACGAACGGTTTTACATTTGAGCGAAAATCATTTAAAACACCTTCCAACGATGCCCCGCCCACCCCTATCACTAGCTCACTTACAACCATATCACGTGGATAAATATTTCTACGAAGTTGAAAAACTGATAACTACCGGACTGTCCCTTTTCAAACCATTTCACAACGTCTGGTGAGAAAGAACTAGCCCAATGCATATCACGCTTAACACAATCATATTACATGTGTAATAAATAACAATATAACATTCGGCACATAATATTTATCTTGTTACACCTTTTGCCACCATTGTATCTGTATTACATGTATCTGATTCATAAATCTATAATCCTGTAACGAACAAAATTTGAAATTTTTTTTTTGAAAAGATCCCGCAATGTTCATATATTTTCACCTAATCATCATATTAAGTCCACTTAAAACAGTTTTCCTTCCGGCAACAGAGGTGTCTGCTAGATTATATCTGGTGGCCACACAGTCAAAGGGAAGGAACTCTAGCTCTCAAATTCGTGACTGCCCTTGTCACAAGCATGGGTCACTGCAGAAGTAAGCAATGCAAATGCTGGTGTTTCGACATGTACTGAAAGCCAAGTAAAACCCGTTTAGATAGGTTTATCCATGTAACATCTTGTATATGATGTATTGTCTACTGTTATCGACTGGTTGTTAGGCATAGGTCATTACTGGTCAGTGAGATGTTTGTATTCTGAAATATATTTTTCACGTTTTAAACATTAAAAGGTTCAGTTATATTTTGTTGATGAAATACACGTAGGTATTAGATCATACAAACATGTATTGTCCGTGTACGCATTGTCATTCTTAAATCAGATATATTTTCTACTCTACCGCTTATATGGAAGATACTTGATTGTGATTGGTCAATCAGAGGTTCACCGACCGACATGTCTCTGTTTTATTCCCTTTATGCCGACCGTTAGGCAGAGTAATAACAAGTATAATCTTTTAAAGTTTCTTTGGTACTGAGCGCCTAGGCAGACACTCTATCCACTAGATCACAAAGGTAGTCAGTGAGGCTGGAGAAGGTGTCAGCCATTAATTCAGGAAGGTTTGAATAATGATACAATGGTGGATGTTATTAAAGTCTTGGTGACATATTCGACATATCAAGTAGTCAACGGCTGCCAAAAACGTTTGGAATTTAGCAAAGTGTCTGACATAATAATCTAGTACTTATTGACAAGGTTTGGTAATGCTTCCCTCTTATAACTGTATTTAGTGACATGATAATGTCGGCCGACCTCTATCACCGAAATATATTCAGCATTTTGATTGGTCCATGTGGTGATCATATTATTGACAGACGAGCGTTTGGCTGGATCTATGAGATTATTTCTGAAAGTTACTACCACAGTACTCGAATAACAGCACAATCGTTGTCAGACTCGATACTTGAAATCGCGCCAATACATAAATCTAGAGGTCATGCAGGGGTACCAGGCAGGTTCCTGTGGCTCTCACTAATGTAATCTAAAACTGTTCAGGAAACTCGACTCGTATGCAGGTTGTTTCTTCCTGTTCTATCTAGGTTTTTAAAAGCTCTTCAGTCTACCACCGTTTTCCAGGAACAAACATGCTCTCGTCTAGGAAAGGCTGTGTAATATGATGTGTGCCATTAACCTACTGAAAATAAAAATTGTTTCTATTTTCGATGTGTGCCAATCATTTCTATCATCACATTATTTTTATAACTTATGATGATGTCTTTTGTGTCTATCTTGCCAAACCTGTGTTATTTTGTTCTTTACACTGCATTGCACGGATAAGCCTTAAACGTATGTTTGTTTCCTATAGGAAGATAACGTAAACATCATACAATGCAAGGCATTTACTAAACCAACAAGGGGGCATGGGTGGCCCAGTTGTCGGGGCGCCGCGATTCGCTGTGCAGAGTTGCGTCCCTTGGGCACGCCAGAAACCTATGATTGTGGGTTCGAAACCCGGTTCGACCCGATTATGTTTCTAGGCTTGTCAGCACCATACCCGTGCTCGTGGGTTTCACCGAAGTGGTAAACGTCTGAGACCTGCCTTACTTCGGGCTTTCCTCCCACATTAAGATGACACGCCGTGACATACCTGGAATACTGTTAAAAGCGGCGTTAAACCCAACTCAGTCAGTCAGTCACTCACTCACTCACTCACTAAACCAACTACGTGACAAAAGGAGTAATGCGACCACAGACAGCAAGTCTGACACTGCACTGCGTATATACATGAGCCATGAGGGGACATAAGGTAGGTGAAATGGAGCTTGACGTCGCGTTTAAATATATCGTATAGCGACGCAGACAGGTAACGTGAAGCCACGCATGTTGTCGATATACCCTTGACCTTTGTATTACTTTTAAAGCATACATGACTGTACATTTAAGTTTCATTCGTCTCTATACCTGCAATGTTGTCTATCATTGTCGTCTACAACTTTAGGTTAGTAACAGGATGTCGAATTGTTTGCATGTCACGAGACGCAATTTAATTCAACACTTGAGATAACTCTTTGTTGCTCATCCAACCCTGATTTATGAACATGACTTGTTTTGGTCCGGGTTATTTAAAAGACCGAGGGAAGATAGGTGACGGTGAGGTCGGAGGTTTTACAATCAGGTCTCACATTTTACCGAAAGTTTTAACGCTAAAAAAATTCTACTTAAAATCTTGTCTATTGTTGTGTAAACAAGAAAAATGTAACTATGCAAAACAGGTCTCGTTTAATTACTTGAAAACCCCTATGCAGAAGTAGACTCGACCAGCTCCGAGTGTTTGCGGGTTGAAGGTGTGGCGATAACACGGTGGGTTTTACGAGTAAACATTTCGCAAATGTCTTGGAAGAAGTGACTCTTGTGATTTGACCGACATCTGATCTGCGCTCCACTGCGCCCCGCTGTGCTCCACTGCGCCCCACTGCGCCCCACTGCTATCTTCTTTAAGCATCACTCCGGCCTGGACAAGGCCCAAGGACCAGGAACGCCTTTGTCCTCATAGATCCCGGCAAGCGTGAGACATGCTGAGGTAAGAGAAACACCATGCTAAGAGGACAATGTCGTCAAACCAACAGATGAGTAATGAAAAGATGTTCCACTTCGAATCTAATAATTTTCTTTTTTTTATCTTGTATGGTAACATAACGATGATCTCGAAGTAAACCAACGATCAAAATTGCATTCAGTGCATTATTTTTTATTGTTTGATTTTTTTTCCATTTAGGTTGAGGTCATAATGATCCCTGTGTACAAAACAACGATACATTAGATCCTATTCCAAGTAATGGCCTTCCTGGTTTACTGCAATAACAAATCTAAAATGTTTCCATTTTTGTCTCAAATATACTGAATGTAATGTGTAGCAGCAAGTAATAATACACTGCAACCGCAATAGCAATTCAGATACATCATATGTTTCAATGTTAAAACGACCGCCTCCTTGGTCTAGTGTTAGAGCGTCCGCCCGGAGAGCAGAAGGTCCGGGGTTCGATCCCCGGCTGCGTCATACCAAAAGACGTTAAAAAGATGATACTTGTTGTTACTCTGTCTGGCGCTCGGCATTAAGGGGCTTAAACAAGGACTGGTCGGAGTCAGTATACTGTGTCTGAGTGGGGTATTCATGCTAAACTGCGGCATGGTATCTCAGTGAGCTAGCACCATAAATCGACATCAGTCCGGACTAGTACAAGTGCTATGCACGTCGCTATTTAAGTGCAATAATCTTGGACGCGACGTTAAACCTAATTTCACCTCACCTTCAATGTTAAAACAGATCTTATAGAAATGTTCAATGCGTGCACATTGTAGTTCTGCATATTACTCGTTTTAGATGAAAGCGACAATGCCATTTCCATAATCACAAGAAAGCGCCAGCTCAGCTAAAAACAGACTATTGTACGATTCCGACCATATCATGAGCATGGTTCTATGAATAACGTACAAGTCACAATAGGGCATTACAATTTTTGTCACATTTTGTCCTCCATATATCTACCATAAACATTTTTAAAGCTTTGCTGAGGTCTTTGCTGTGTTTCATCAGCCTTAGCGTAAGATAATGTACATTTAATATATTGTTTTATATATCCAATAATGATGGGTAAGTATTTTAAAGATTAAATAATACCAATGTATGTTGCCGATATATAAATTGCTATATAACAAGTAATAACAATATAAATTGTTATATATTGAACAATTACTGTCATATACCTTTGCCACTTTGTTTGAGCCCAATAACGTTTGAATTTAATCACCATGTAAATCATATCAATTATTATAATATGTTTATCATCACAAAAGACCCGTGAAGATCCGGGGAAGAATAAGTCTTCAGCAATCCATGCTTGTCGTAAAAATCGACTATATTTGTCGTAAGAGGCGACTAACGGGATTGGGTGGTCAGGCTCGCTGACTTGGTTGATGCATGTCATCGTATTCCAATAGCATGGATCGATGCTCATGATGTCAATCACTGGATTGTCTGGTCCAGACTCGAAAATTTGCAGACCGCTGTCATGGAGGTTGAATATTGCTGAGTGCGGCGTTAAACAACAAACAAACAACCAAAACGAAGAGAAGTCAATTGTTGGATTTGTGCCCAATCTCGCCATAGACAATTTAAGGTCTATTTTGTATCCTCAACATAAACATGTACATGGTCAGGTCAAAAAAGTTATTTGAACTTGAATTTAAAGTGAAACTAATAAATACATATTAAATTAAATACTGTAATTGTCTTGATCAAGGTGTTCAATGCATGCGTACATCTTGACATTAGATGAGGAAGAAGTGAAATGTAACAATATAATGTAGGTAGTAAGCAGGGTATATCATGTGTGCTATATGTTGAAAGTATTTGAATTTTGTACTGATTCTCGTAAAGATTCTGCAACAATGAAACTGCAACATTGACATGACGGCAAACGTACCAGTTTTAACAGTTTGGTCGTGTGTTCATAAACGATTCGAAATTGCTACTATTACAACCACATTGAAAACAAACATTTGCGATCAGGTGACAAGTGACATCCTAGTAATAATTATATAGGATATATATATATATATATATATATATATATATATATATATATATATATATATATTCACGCCTCCTGTTGTTTTAAAAGTTTGCTTGATTTGATTATACTATCTTCCTTACAAACCAATACTGTGCCATTAGCGTGGCCAATGTAGGTCTCAACACAATAGAGGTAAAACTGTTATATACCTACTGGATCCGAGAAAGCTGCATTGTATGGTATAAGTTTGTCCATTTTTTTTTCAACACTGAAGCAAAGCAGCATCTCAAGTCCAACAAAATGATTTCACATTATCAATGTCCCTTGGACGGTCCTTACATGAAAGGCTCTGAACATTTCGGAATAATGCATTTGTGAATTTAACTGTTTCAGTAGTCTGTCTTACAGACCCTGATACAAATATATATCAAATACAGCCCATGCAAGTCTATAATGTTTGGCAAGTCTAGATCACTGCAGTATCTGAAAATGAAGAGAGTCAGTGGGCTCCTTTTTATTATATTTTTATTAAGATAACTGAACAGCTGTATTTTTTATGTACGATATGTTCATTTCAGAGACTAGATTTTAGTCTACTGTTTCAGGTTTACACAGCGAAACATAAAACTGGCCCTGATCCCCTTGGTGCTAATTGGCTGTGTCGCAGTCTTCGTCTACATACTGAACACAGAAACATTACGACCACATGTAATACACTCTTACCTCAGGTACATGTACCATAGTTTTATATCTTCAAGAATATATATCATAGCTCTTTATAGAATATTCGACCTTATCACCTATCCCTGCAAACTAAACTTCTTTTTTTAGTTGTTGTTTCAAAATAATGACGATTACACATGCAGGTACGATGTAAATCGTTTCCATACGATGTGTGAAACTTGAGGCTTTAACATTTCAAGTTTATATTATTTCTTTATGTCGTACCAAATTCTATATGTCTCTCAAAACTTATCCATTGTTTGATGTTTACCAACTGCGGACAATTGTATCTCTTCCAGCCGTTCGAGAATACATGTCTCAAACATCAGCTCTATGATGGAAAACACAGTTAAGTATAAAGTTGGTACAAGATCGACTTCTCTCGCATTACAACAGGGTGCGAAAAACCACTCAACAGTTAATGAAGGTAGTGTGAAAGTTTCACCTGGTGATACAAATTACACAAAACATATTACAGACTCCAAACGTGATGCATTCAAATCCAACCTAAAGCCACGCAGACGGTATCTGATCTACCTGTGTGACAAAGTGCGGTCTTGTGGAGGCTGGGGCGACAGACAACGGGGTATGGTAGCGGCCTATCTGCTTGCTAAAGTAACAGGTCGACAGTTTGGCATCAATATGTCCTACCCATGTGATATCAAGATGTTCTATGTGCCAAATAAAGTAAACTGGTATGTGAAGGTAAAGGACATTCGTGGTTTGAATTGGGAAAAGGTGGATTGGATGGACAACCGCAAAGGCATTGTCGACGTTGAAAGTGACTTTGATATTAAACACCCAAGTGATGTTATCTTCTTGAAAACAAACCAAGATATCATCAACAGAATTAAAAACAGTCCAAGATATGGTCGCTTTGTTCCAAAGGAGTTTAAAGACATGAAACATTATAAAATCTTTCAAACAATTTGGCACCTTCTGATGAAACTATCTATTCATTTTGAAGAACATGTTGACATGTTTATGAACAGAATTCCAAAGAACAGGGCTTTAATCTGTGCTCACGTACGAATGAGGAAGAATCCTACCATTCCCAACGACGGTTCCCAAATAAATTCATTATCGTCTGTAGATTCCTTATGGAGATTTTTGTCTAAGCATGGCAACCAAAGTCGTGTCTTCATAGCCAGCGACTCTCTGGGTGTGCGTAAGAGTGCCAGGAAATGGTTCGGTGAACGTGAAGTTGACACTGATGGTTTAGTGCTTCACATTGACCGACAAGGAAAATGGTCTAATGCTTGTCTGGGTTTTGAAATGGCCCTTCTGGATCAGGCTATCCTAGGTCTCTGCAAGGTCCTTGTTGTTTCAGGTAGCAACTTTAGTATCAGAGGCGCCATGATCTCGCGACTAAAACAGAAACTTTTCATATTTAAAAATGGAACAATTACGCCATTTAAATTGTAATGGTTGACGTGGTCATTATTGTATTCAACATACAATTTAGTCCCTATCTTTTGAATACATTAAGGAAGGGATACAATAAACACCTTCAAACAAAACGTGATCAGTTTCTTATTTTGATGTTCACATCAATCACTCGCGCCAACAATCACACAAAACCTCATTGCATTTTTTATTTTAATCTGTATATAATGGTCCGACAATTTGGGTAATGCAGAAGGATTCAGTGTTGGGAAAAATACTCATTTTCCGAAAAGTTCTAGTGCATTATGTTTATGTCGAGTGTACTGAGAAGAACAGCAGCCCACAGAGTCCTTTGCTTGGATGAAACCGTCAATGTGTGATCTTGCATGAAAATGTAAATATGAAATGTAGATTATGGACGAACATAATGAGACTGTCCAACACATTGTCAGTAGATGCCCAGCTTTGGCACAAACACGGTATCTTAAGCGACGTGATGGAGTGGCTCCATCCTTCTATTACCGTCTTCGGCATGCTTGTGGTTTTGACACAGAGGTCGATCCATGGTACGACCCAGAATATGTAGAGGGCGTCATGGAAAATGATAAATACAAAATTCTTTAGAATAGGCCCGTAGACAGCCTCAGCCCCCAAAAACTTGTTCATGTCCTTTTTATGATGAATCCAGTGAAATCATATATATATCATTGTATTTTCCGTCCCCTTTGACAAGGTTCAGAAAAAAACCATGGCAAATACGAGGGCTGGCTGAAAAGTTCTAAGCCTAACTCTGAAAGACCCGTACCAAGTCGATGGTTTTCATTTATTTCTCCACCTAGTCATCTTCCAGGTTTACACACTTTTGCGATGCTGCAAGGCCTGGGTGCCAGTCAAGAAGACATTTTCTGCAGCCACCCTAAAAAAGTCATTCACAGCGGAAATGACGTCATCATTACTAGGAAAATGGCGACCGGCTAGTTGCTTTTTCAATTTGGGAAACAGGTTGAAGTCTGACGGGGCCAAATCGGGTGAATAAGGGGGATGGTCAATGAGTTCGAAGCCACAATCATGGATCGCTGACATGGCAACCACCGATTTGTGAACAGGAGCATTGTCTTGGTGGAACAGGACTCCTTTAGTGAGCATTCCCCGGCGCTTAGCTTTGAAAGCTTCACGTAACTGTCTCAGTAGGTCAGCATAATATCTTCCATTGATAGTCTGGCCATTTTCAAGATAGTCACTTAGCAGAATACCCATGGAATCCCAAAAGACTGAAGACATCACCTTTCCGGCAGAAGGGGGGGGGGGCTGACTGTGCAAGGACCACCCAAAATTTCAATCTGTATACAATAGTGATAATAATGCGTCGCAAGTACAAAGTTGTCTGACTTCCAATTGTTCTCGGTTCCATAGGTTTAATCATCTGATGAGGGCACACTCACTGAACGATTGAAGGCTGTCTTGACAACAGTGGCCCACCTCGTTATGTGTGTGTTTGTTGTTAACGTCGCACTCAGCAATATTCCAGTTAACTGACGTCGGTCTGTAAATAATCAAGCCTGGACCAGAAAATCCAGTGATTGACAACTTGAACATCGACCTTCGCAATTGGGATACGATGACATGCGTCAACCAAGTCAGCGAGCCTGACGATAAGCATCTAACAAGCAGGGGTTGCTGTAGACGAATTCTAACCTGGACCTTCACAGTAACATGATTTGTAATCACGAGCAATGACCCTTGTTGGGATGACGTGAAATGGGGCTTAACGTCGCGTTTAAGATTGTTGCACTTACGAGGGGCGTTCAATAAGTTTTGCAACTTCAATTTAAGACCCGTGAAGATTACGGGGTAGAATAGGTCTTCAGCAACTCATACTTGCTGTAAAAGGCGACTAACGGGATCGGGTGGTCAGGCTCGCTGACTTGGTTGATGCATGTCATTAATCCCAATTGCGTGGATCGATGCTCATGATATTAATCACTGGATTGTCTGGTCGAGACTCGATTATTTACAGACCGCCGTCATCTAGCTAGAATATTGCTGAGTGCGGCGTTAAACAACAAACCAACCAACCAACCAACTTCAATATAAGACCAAGTCGCAGAATATCTTTTGGGCTTTTATTTTTCGATGTAATCTCCATTCACCTCAATACACTTATTCCATTTGTCCTTCAAGCTTTTAATACCACTTTTATAGAAATCCGCAGATTGGCCCTCTAACCACGCCTCTGTGGCAGCCTGTATGTCCTCGTTATCCTAGAAGCGTCTTCCACGTAGGGCAGATTTCATTTGCCGGAACAGGAAATAGTCACTGGGGGCAAAGTCTAGGCCGTGGGGTGGGTGATTTAACTGTTCGAATCCACATTCACATATGGCGGCCTGTGCAATCCTCGAATTGTGAACCGTAGCGTTGTCATGCAAAAGTAGAATACCACGTGTTAACATTCCACGGCGTTTCTGGCGGAAAGATTTTCGCAATTCTTTCATTACATTAGCATAATACTGTCCATTGATTGTAGTGTTTGGTGGCATGTAATCAATCAGTAATATGCCTCTTGCATCCCAAAATATGGTGGCCATTACCTTGCCAGCCGATGGCTGAGTGCGAAACCTCCTCGGAGGCGGAGAATTGGGATGCTTCCATTGCATGGATTCCAAATTAGTTTCTGGGTCTCAGTGGTGGATCCATGTTTTATCACCTGTCACTAGACGAGAAAGAAATCCGGCATTTCAGCAGTACAGAGATCAAGGAGGTCTCGACAACTTTCAGTTCTCTGATTGCGATCTTGAGCTCTGAGGTTTCTAGGTACCCATCTTGCAGATACCTTGGACATACCAAGATGCTCATGAATAAGGGTTTCAACAGTTCCAACGGATATTTGGAATTACCTAGAAAGTTCAGATACTTTCACTCGTCGGTCAGACAAAATTCTTCTTTCTATAGCAGCAATGGTTTCCGGTTGGGTGGCATCTGAAGGCCTGTCTGACCTTGTGTCATCGTCTATGGACTTCCTACCCATTTTAAACTGTAGAGACCAACGGCACACTGCGGAATAGTCAGGAGCATCCTTACCCATCACTTTACACATGCGATCATGGATTTCGTTTGCTTTGCATCCCTCCTTGGTGAGGAACTTTATTACAGCGCGTTGTTAATGTTTGAGAGAATCAATGATTATGACCACCTTTAGGTGAATGAAGCCATCACATCTAACTCATTGTTGTGTCTGGAACTTGTTATCACACGTGTAAACCTGATGTTATGACTAGTGTCACACCTGCCACAAGTTGACTACCGGGGAGATACCATGCCCAGTTAAACATGACTCTTGGATGTCCCATGACTCGGACACAGTGTATACTGACTCCGAGCCTACCAGCCCTTGTTTTATCCCCTTAATGACGAGCGCTAGGCAGGGTAACAATAAGTACAGTAAAGTAGTTTGGTATGAAGCGGTCGTTGTTCGAACCACCGACCTTCGCCTCTCCAGGCTCTACAGACTCTTTCACCCTTTCCATCTGGTTGGATGTGGAATCTCTTCTGTTTAGATGAGTGCATCGGCAGCACAATACTAAGGTTTGCAGACATAAACTTCTGACCTTTTATACACATAAACGCAAAATAGTGTAGGGATTGACTTGATCTGATAGAAACTTGACAAAAGGTTTTTGCTCAGGTTTTAGTTCCACAATCCATTTCACATATGTGGAATAAAATAATTGTTCATAATTATTTCTGTTCAGTCTGTTTACTGGTATCAATTCTGAAAATAAATTCAAAATAGGACAATAAAGGACGCAAATGATATTCTCCCTTGACTTTTCATTTCAAACACATTTTTCTATTGTTCACCGGTGTTTCATTTCAACCACCGTCACATTTTGGTAACACAATCCTTAAATGTAATAATTTGCCATATATTGCCTATTCGGGAATGACAATCCGACAAAACTTATTAATAAAGCGTAACGTTACTTGATCTGCAAAGCTAGAATAACACGTCTGGCAGTTAAGGGGTTCCCTGGCGTATTGGCTTGCGTATACATGTACGCGAAACATCCGAACAAATTAAGCTACCATCAGGACCCACATATTCCCTGATGTACTGCCTTGCGTATACGAGAAATATCCGAGAAAATTAGAAACATTAGGTCAGACACAATCATCGACATCTGAAACGTAAAATAAAAATATTTAGGTGACACCAGTTTGAAATATACAAAATTGCCAAGCTACCATCAGGACCCACAGATGTAAAAAGCTGCAGGCCCCGATGAAACTCTCCAGGCCAACATGTTAAAGACCGCTGCTTATAATGACAAATAAATCGACACGTAAATGTACTGCAGTCCATAAGGACCCATACAGATTTGAAACTACGGGCCCGACACAAGATCTACCTGCCACGGGCCTACGGGCAGGCGTTTATTTCGGACGCTGCACATGAAGCTGACGTGAACCATAATAAATAACGGAACACATCTCAACGCGGTCCAAAATGGTTCTACAATACGGGAATGAACACCATTAATTGTACACACATTGCAAGATTCATTAAACATAATTATTAACGAAATTATAGTTTTGTTGTGTTTCATAAACTGAACTTTGTCCATCGATGTTAACCCATAATCGAGGAAATTCAGAACATAATAAAGCTAAATAGTGCGTTCCCTGTAGTACAAGAGGACAAGAGTTATAGACCTTTGGTTATGACGTCATTGGTGCCAACATTAGTGACTGTTTTCGTTCACGTTCTGTGCAGACTGTAATGATGCTGCAGTGCGTTTATTTCGTTACTATGCTAGTGACATATGCTTTACCCTGTCAAATCCTTGATCAAGTAATGGATTTTCTTGGCAGGAATTCAGAGAATCTAAACTGCTTGGCATGGTTTTTCGATGGTGGTGAACCATGGTATTTGATATGGGTATCTTTGTTGAGAGCTGTTGTTTGCAGTGTTTCGGCGACTGTTTTCAGCCAAGTAACTTTTTAAAAACGTTTGTAATATTTTCGTTAATGTTGGTGTAATATTTTGGTCAGTTTGAAGTTCTGCATCCTAATTGTAGTTGCTGACTGCGGCGTCAAACAACATTTAGATAATATACGCCTGATTAAGTTTCATGGT